ATAAACAAAAAATACAAGTATTAGGGGGGAGTTTGGGGAAGGTGGAATGGAAAGGAGAAAAAGGGGGGCAGGAGGGGGTTCTGGATAACAAGGAGATAACCAGAGACTACAGACTCCTCTTCAATGATTGGACCAAGCAAGGTGACGCAACTCCAATGTGGCCAAGTGACCTGTTCCCAGACTTCTTTCCTCCCCCTGCAAATTGTTTAGTCAGCAAGGCATGGTATGGGGGAGAGTGATGGAAATGTAGAATGTTAAAAAAGGGGCAGTGTTTTCGAAAGCAGGGAACCTGTCTCTTATACACATCTAGATGTGTATAAGAGACAGAGATTACGCAACTCCAATGCGGCCAAGTGACCTGTTCCCAGACTTTCCCCCCCCCCTTGCAAATAGTTTAGTAAGCAAGGCATGGTATGGGGGAGAGTGATGGAAATGTAGAACGATAAAAAAGGGGGAAGCCTTGAAAGGCAGGGAACGGTGGTGGGTTCAAGTGCACATCTAGACTGCTACTGTCTCTTATACACATCTAGATGTGTATAAGAGACAGTTTTTCTGGGTTGTATTTCATATGTTAATATGAGCCTTGGGCATAGGACTTGCATTTATAGCAGGGAAGCTGTCTCTATGGGAGCAGTGGCGAAGGCTCTTCCAGGGGTCTGGTCCCGCCTAAGGTTGTCGAGTTTAGAAAACTCAACGGTGTGACGCCATTTCGACATTAATAAATTCGAAACAAGAAATAAAAAAACTGAAAAAAAAGCTAGAAACAACTTTTCTCTTTATTTTTGATAACGTAAGTCGGAGAAATGAAAAATGTCTGGAACAGTCGGAGTGACCGTCTCCGTGAAAAAGGGCTACTCCCCGTGGTGAGGGGACAAGAGGTCACCATTCGTAAAATGGACAGGGACAACGTTGGTGGCCAAATGCATTCATTGCCCAACGAAGGAAACGAGTTTCATGCCAGAGAGCCAAACACAGCTGTCACAGTTCCTCCGTTTCAGAATGCAATGATGTCTCAAAAACCGAAAAAAGGAAAGGCATGGCCGTTGAGAAATCTACCCTACCCTCGGTAGGGTAGTTTTCTCAACGCACAATGGTTTCCCGCCCAAACCAAAAGGGCCAAAGCATACTACAAAACGGTTTTCACGTCAAATAAAAATTCTACAAAAAGACAAAATCTAATAGGTTATTCTCCTGTATTTCGGCACCATCAGATCGCAATACATCAACGGCAGAGCTCCATCCCACCATGGCGCACGTAATAGAAAGCTCAGCGTTGAGAAAACTCAACGCTGTAGGTGGGACTAGACCCCAGCCCTAATGGGAAGAGGCATTTTTCTGGGTTGTATTTTATACGTTAATATGAGCCTTGGGCACTGGGCCCCAATTTCTTAAAAAAAAAAAAAAAAAAAAAAGATTCGTTCGATTTTGCTCATCCTGTCGATGTACCCTCTCTCTCTTTCTCTCTCTCTCTCTCTCTCACACACACACACACACATACACACACACACACACACACACACACACACACACACACACACACACACACACATACACACGTACACGTAGCACGAGCGGCAGCTGGAGGAGGACCAGGGGTGGAAGGAGGAAGAGCGGAAGGAGCAGCAGGAGGGGGAGAGTATAACTCAAAATAATAATGTAGCTGGAGTTTACATTTCACAGAACAACTACATCATAAGATCGGGCACAACAACACTTCGCCCGTACATCCCTTCTCCTCCATCTGCTCAAGCTGCAGCGGATTCTGATGGTCCGCGGTTAAATACTTATTTCCCGAGCGCGTGATACTTGCAGTATCGTTTCGGCTGTAGCTCCTTGCTGAAGTCATCATTTTGTCTGTTATCGTCTCCGTGTCCTGCCGGTTTCTCAGACGAAGATTTTTCTGCGTACGCTATCGCTCGAAGATCATACTGAGCATTTTTTCCCAGTTCACCACTTGGTTGCCGCCTTTTTGTATTTCAGAACCAGTACAGGCATCTCGGGCTGTCACTGGGCACTCAGGGCCATCTTTTTGCCCGAAGGAACGGGTCCGGTACAAAAAGCCACCCACGCTGGAGCCGGAACCCCACCGATTGTACTTCCCTATACGTACAATTTCTCGAACAGTAGAGCAACTTTCCCTGTGGAAAGTCATAAGCATTATGGGCAATAGAGCCTCCTCCGAGGTATTGTCTTTTATCCTGTATATAGTTCCGATGATAGTTGCAGTCTTCTGTTCCATATTCCCAAAGGACAAGAACTCCTTCGTTGTCTTGTAACTCGATGTTTCATGATTTCAAATTCTCTCTCCATTCTTGAACTTATGCATAGACAGTACCTCAGCTGGTTCATTCATCACCAGTATTTTGGTTTTCAAAAATTCAGCGACATTTCTGTCACCGTCAGTTCTTTCCAGTATCAGGTCCTTGTGATAGCACTCGGTGATACTGTCAAGCCTGCGTCTTGCTTTCTCAATTTCTCTTGATTCATTCTTAAACCATGTTATTAGCAATAGATCATCAATAAATCGTCTTCCAAACATCAACTTTTTTTGTGTGTCGAGTGTCCCCATAAATTCATGCTCACTTCTCATGCATACCAAGCATGCAAGCACAGGGCTCGCATGCCCCCCCATCGGGATTCCAGTTTTCTGCTGTAAAAACTCATTTAACGACCGAAAAAAGCAATTTCGCAGCAAAAAACGAGTTACTTTCAGCAAGTCACAGAGGCGAACTGACTTCCATCCTCCTTCCCCATATGATTTTCCCATCCGTGCGCCTTTTCCCTTTGTTTTCACCCTTGCCCAGTATCTTCCTTTCATCCGGGCAGTATCCATTCAACGGTCTGTTCCACACTCTGGTGCGGAATCTGAGTAAACATTTCCTTGATATCATATGTTCTTATGAGCACCGCTGTGTCATCCCTATTCATTCTTATTTGTCTATTGGCGGCCATCAGACCTTCTTTTAGTTTATTAGTGGCAATCATGTTGAAATTAGTCATCTTTGTTGTCTGTCTTAGCATCTTCAGTACTTTGGTCAATGTTCTGGATGCCGACCTGATTGGGCTGAGGTATGAAGGGCAAATGGGTCGTTTTTTATCCAAATCTTTGTCCTTGCTCATAATAAATGCATGCTAAATGCATGCTAAATACATCCATCCTGATTCCAACTTGCAATTCTGTCGAGTTTTTCTTCTCTGTACTCGGTCCTCATTCTCTTCAACAATTTGGTTTCATCTTCTTCGCATTTCATATATCTCGGGCAGTCATTGAATGTGACTTTTATCCCTTGAGAGTATATAACAGGACATTCAATTAACGTCTCTCCTGGGTTTCGGTCTACTGGAGACATCATCAGCCCGTCAAATGCCAATTTAACTCCCTTCACATATTCAGTGAGGACCAAGTCCTCTCTTATGGTTGGGGCAGTTCTTGAAATTCTGGCTAGGCTCAATCTGACCCTATTTCGGCAATATCCTGCTCTCCTTAGGGGCTCAGCTGCTTATATAACAGGACATTCAATTAACGTCTCTCCTGGGTTTCGGTCTACTGGAGACATCACCAGCCCGTCAAATGCCAATTTAACTCCCTTCACATATTCAGTGAGGACCAAGTCCTCTCTTATGGGTGGGGCAGTTCTTGAAATTCTGGCTAGGCTCAATCTGACCCTATTTCGGCAATATCCTGCTCTCCTTAGGGGCTCGGCTGCTTGCTCACAGACAGTGAATACCTCGGTTAGATCATTCATTCTCCCTGGGTATGGGACGTTCCTGGAATTATATAAAAATTGATTCACATCGCTGATTTCACTTAGTCTAACCCGAACATGCCCGTTTGTCTGGGGCAAGTCAAAATCACTACATGCGCACTTGCGATCTTCTTTCGCGTAACGCTTATGATTATGCAGAATATCTACAACTGATTTGGCTTTTGTCAGACCACTCTTAGCTTATTCTGCAGCAGGTCGACCAGGTCTGTCAACTGAATCTCCACTCTTAGCCATTCCAAGAATTCCTTCCTAATCTCCTTTTTGTCAAGGGAGTGGCAATAGGAAAGTTTCACTGTCAGTCTCAATCTAGGATTTAGGCCAATTTTTCTCTTTAGTTCCCTTGAGATTATTCCTCTCAGAATTTGTCGCCCTTTCTTTGTGTCAATACTTTTCATCCCTTTCAGCATCTGGAACAATTCATTACCTTCCTTCCTCAAGTCCTTCCTTTTCCATGGTGCTCTCAATAGTGTCAGTAGATTAGATTTTCTTCGCTCGGCGTTTGATTTATTTTTTATCAAGCAATCAACAAACCACTCTTCTCCTTGATCAGTCAATTCTTTCGAGTCCCCTAGTAGCCGACTTGTTCCATCAATTCTGATTTTACTGTCACTATATACCAAAGCAACGATACGCCATCCGTTCCACCATTTACTGCCGCATGCATTCTGGATTGCCAGGGGTTGTTCCTTTAGCTGCCTTCAGGATTTTCATCAAATCAACCGTTGGGTCAGGGCACACTTTTTCAGCAGAAAAAATTAGCGGTTTCCATTCGATTACTTTATTCGAGGATTTATTCTTTCGTCTGGAGCGTCTCGGTTTCTGCTTCTTCTTCGATTTTACCATATTCAAGTCTGGGTTCTCGTTTTCAATCAACAATTTCTCCATTTGCAGTAGGTCCGATTTCGGCCCCATCCACAGAGTGATCAGGATATACGTTTCCACTCTTTTTTTCCGTATCCACTTGTGAACTTTTTTGTCAGACTTTGTCCTTATGCTCTGTTTGTGCTCCCCCCATCTCTCATGTAAGTTCTGACCCGTTTGCTCAATATATACGGATTTATAAAATGAGGAAATCAGGACATATACCCAAAACCCTGCGTTATTCATTCTATCCAAGTCGTCGAAGCACATACTAATCCAGTACTTTGAGAATAACCGTTTACGCAGGCAAGGATCACGGTAGTGCGGAATAGAAATTATATCTCCCTGGCTACGGATCTATCTGTTAGGCCATGGTCAATATGCAGTTTACTCAATCGCCTAAGGAACCGTAACACGCTCTGTTTCGAGAACTTTAGTTCCCCGACACATCCCCGGCTTCCTCTTCATTGTCTTCGCCGCCGCTGTTGCAGTCCTCCTCGTTTTTCTCTTCTGTGGAGCCTTCCTCCACCTCATCCTCTTCTTCTTCTTCGGTGTTGTTCACCAACCTCGCGAACTGGTCTGTGTCCTGTTTTGCTAGCTCCCACGCGCCTTTGTCCTTTCATTCACAACGTGCATTTCTCTTATTGCACATGGCATTGATCTCCTTATAATTCAACGTCATATAGTAATCCAGGCGACACCTCATGTACTCAATCACTTCCTCTTGTGCCATCGAAGCCTTCTCCTTTCAATTTTTTCCTCTTGTTCCTTCGCTTCCACCTCCTTACCGCAATCCTTCTTCATCTTACCGGAGGTTCCTCCTTTATTCCCACCACAGTTCTTTGTGGGACTGAATCCGCGTGCTTCGTTCTTCCCCATCAACGCTTGGAGCATGTTCTTTATTTCGTCCAACTTCGCGTCTTCCTTCACGTTCACTTGATGCTCCTGTGTCTCATCAATCAATGTGTTAACACGTTGTTTCTCCCCTGCCCTTCTCTCCTCATCGTCATCAGAGATATTAATCCGCAGAGGTCGCACTTTAATGTCGCCACCAACACATTTTGATCGAGATTAAGATCTCGATCGCGCAGCGACTGGTGACGCAAAATCCTGCTTCCGTTTCTCGCTACTCCCACCATCCTGCTTCTCCTCTTCCACTTCCTCCATCCTCTTCTTCCCACGATTTTGAATAGCGGTGCTGGTCTTCCTGTCTGCTTCTTCTAACTTATCGGCAATCTTCTTCAATGAACCTCCAAAAGTACTTGCTATCCACGCCTTCATTCTTGTCTCGCTGTCATCGGTGTCCTTCCCCTTCCCCTTCTTGCTCCCGCCGCACGCCGCGCTTGCACCGCTGGATTCTACACCGCTTGACCTCTTGCCTTCTTCGATCATGTCCCTAGTCTTCCATTTCTCGATAAGATCGAGATGTTCCTTCGTAAACCATGCTCGTTGTCCAGGTCCTGGAAACGAGTTCGCACTAGGCTGCCGCTGATTATAATTCCAACTTGGTGGTGGAGACGGTTGCCATCCATACTGCGGCGGGGGATAGTATCCCGCAGGTGGGAGCTGTGGAAGCGCCACCGTATGCGGTACCATTCCCTGAGCAGGCGCAGCTACTTGCATACGTGGTGCAGGTGTTTGCGAGGTGAGGCCGCCCGGCGCGATGACTGGTGGGGTTCGCAACCCATTCGGGAGCTCCATCCAGTATCCATTGCACCCAGACCACCTTCCACGACCATCACCCCTCCCTCGGCCGTTCATGCGGTATGAGCTCCCGATGATCACGTGCGCGCTTAACTCGCTCCGAAAAACTACAGCAAGGAGACGATCCCGTACTCAGATGTCTTCAGCAATGAGCCACTTCGCCTAGCGGTCTTCTGATGATGAATCAATCCACCAGGGTAGCAATCTAGCTCCCGCGCACTGCGTCATAAGCGAAGAAACCACTCACATCGATAATGAACAATACCAATACTGCACGACGAGATTCCGTGTTCTCATCGAACACGATTCTCTCGAAGGCACCTTGACGAGCGTGCCTAAGCGCAACCACAGAGTCATTCGCCCGGTTCAACACCAGAATAACTCAAAATAATAATGTAGCCGGAGTTTACATTTCACAGATCAACTACATCACAAGATCGGGCGCAACAACACTTCGCCCGTACAACCCTTCTCCTCCATCTGCTCAAGCTGCCACGGATTCTGATGGTCCGCGGTTAAATACTTATCATGGTCTCCGCTCTCCCTCAGAGTTGAGTGGAGAATAATCTAGAATAGCAAGAAATATATAAAAATATAAAAATAAATTAAACCAGTAAAAAATCAATTAAAAAGAATCACAAAAACACATTTTCCGAGCGCGTGATACTTACAGTACCGTTTCGGCTGTAGCTCCTTGCTGAAGTCGTTACGAGGTGTGAAACGCAAGACGTGCGCGCGTGCACGAGATAGATAGATAGATAGATAGATAGATAGATAGAGAGAGAGAGAGAGAGAGAGAGAGAGAGAGAGAGAGAGAGAGAGAGAGAGAGAGAGAGA